AAGTTCTTTGTGCATTTTTCTTTTTTTCTACTTGTTACTTTGCACTTTTTTAGTGTTTATTTACTATTTATTCAGTTTTTTTAAGGTATCTAATATTTTGATACTTAATTTCCATGATCTAAATATTCTTAAAAATTAAAAGTCTGTTGTCATTTGGAAGTGTATATGCCTTCTTGCATTATTATGCTATTACATTATGATTATATATTCAGTGGCATAAAATGGTCTTTAAAATGACAACAATATTGCTTATCGCAATTATTTCTGGCGCAATATATCGCACAACAAAAAGTTGTTATCGTGACAGGCCTAGCTGGAGCCGTGACAGTGCACAACCCACACAATGAAGATAATTGTGCACATAACTGCAATTGCAGGTTTTCAAACAGAGATGGCGACAAAGAGGCAAAACTTACAGGCTGCAGCTTTAAAGTTAAACTCTGCTCAACTTTAATATGTCAATTACTTTAACGTGCTTAATTTAATGTACTTAGTTGCCACAACTGTCCATGCCCAATAGGAGTGGTGCAGGAAAAAAACAAATAAAAAAGTTCCTGTCTTCCAGACAATCTCAATTTTAATTTATACCTTTTAGATATACCAGAGGCAAAATGATGAGAAGAAGACTTGGTTTGAGGCTCGTGATTTCTGTCATGTCATTGGAGGTGACTTGGCAAGCTTCCACTCTCAACGAGAAATCAACAAGTTACCGTGAGTGCTCACAATAAGTTTTGTACTGATACAATTCTGTATTATTATTTCTTTTACAACATTATGATTTTATAGGGTACACCAAGGAACTCCATAATGGTGGGAAACATGTCTTTATTCTGCAGGTATATAATTGGAGACCCAGCATGGATAGGTTTCAGTATGCTGAATAGTAATTCTGGTTTTGTGTGGACTGATGGAACCCCTGTGAGTGTTTTCCCATTACTGTTCATATTTTTTTACCGCCATTTGTGTCACTTTAAGGTAAAATTCATGATGTACCTGTTGAGGTGTAAAAGTATAAAAATACTTCCATTCCTTCAAAGTTTTTAAACAAGGGAAGGAGGGGCCTATAAAGCCATGATGGTCATTATAGCAAAATAACCCAGGACAGGGTGATCTGCATCAAGATTTGAGTGTGTGTGTGAAAATTATTGATTAACTGTAGATTATCCTGCTTAATACATGGCAACTCACCCAATAATTATAAATGAGAACATCAGATATTGATTTGAGTTGGAATTATTTTAGAATCTTTCTTATCTTAAAGCTTCTGGGCCCTCATTTATCAACAGTGCGTACGCACAGATGTGTGCGTAATGAGTGCGTAAGCACAGTTTCATGCAAAGTGTGTGATCTACCAACTTGTACTTATATGTAGGAATGTGTGTAAATATAAGGACAAATAATAGAACCTTTTTTACGCACTGTTGATAAATGAGGCCCCTGGAATGAAAATAATTGTCTACTACATCATTCTAACCCACACCGTTTTGCATTATATTCTATTTGTGAATGTGTGTTTTATTTCTTTTTAGTCTGATTTTGAGAACTGGGGGTTTGGAGAACCAAACAACTACAACAATCAAGAGCACTGTGCAGAAAGTGGCCTTTATTATGGACACAAGTGGAATGATTGTGATTGTGAATCCTATAATAACTGGATTTGCCAGATACCAATAGGTACACATGCATGGATAGAATTGTGAATTAAGTCTTGGGATGTACTGTAAATGCAAACTAATGACTACAAATGCAAACCTAACACTTGTTCTATGAAATGTGTTGATTTGTTTCTTCTTCCTTTTCCTTATTCTTCAAAGAACTTGCTTTGTTCTTGCAATGGCCACATATTGTTGTAGTAGTATTTTTTTTTTTAGATCATTTTTGTATAATTTTCATATCTTTCATATCTTCTATACGATTTAAAATTTTCATTTTGTGTTCATTTATTAGAAAAAAAAAACAGTGAGTGGTCATTAATTTTAATTAATTAATTTTCTTTTTGAGAGAAAATGCAAAAATATTGAGACACATTGAGTATTTTCACAGGCAAAAAAAATTGTCTGTTGTCAAGAATTGATTTATATTTTATATTCTGACATAACTAGATCCATACAACATGCACATGCATCAACTTTACCATGCACATTAACAAATGCCCGCACAATAACTTTAATTAATTAGGCAGTTAGTTAATTTGTTAGTGTTTTTTTTTTCTTTTTTCCTTCCCCCAATAGGCAGAACTCCAAAACCTCCACCAACTACTGGAACTCAGGGTAAGGAGTGACTCGCTGCATATTCATTATTAAATTTCAGTGTTCCTTACATTAACTTCATTACATTAATGTTCTTTTTTGGGACATGTACTGTTTTCCACTGTCCTAACAAGAAGAAAATCCAAATGATCATATAATAAAATATTTGTGATAAAATAATGAGACCCTACTGTCAGTGGACACACCTTAATAGCCTTTTCATGGGCATTTAATAATTTTTGATTTTTTAATTTGCTATCTCTCTCTCTCTCTCTTTTTTTTTTTTACCTGTAAAAGAAAACCTGCGTAATAATTACGCAGATCTTAGTATAAGACGTTATTCACTTCCAGTTTTTGTTAACAATTACATATCATTTATTGTAGTATATCATTTATAAATTATATAATTATATTCTTTTTTGTGTGTGTTTTTGTTTTAACCCAATGGAACAATTGAAAAACACAATATTCAACACAGCAATGCCACAGAAAATTAAGATAATGCCATTCTTACCTTTCTTATTAGTTGTTTAAAATGGACCATAAAACAGGCATCAATTTCTCCTCGGTCTCTCTAGATCGTGCTTTGCTTCTGGAGTCTTTTGCAGTCCTGTGACCCTTTGAAATCCATGACCTCACATATGGAATGGGGTTTAACTGAGATAATGGTGGTCCAACAAGGCAGATAAATAAAAACAATGAAATTGTGGAGGTGTGGAGAGATGCTCTGTTTGCGCTAAAAATTGAGTTCATTTGAGAAAAACCACTCTCACACTCTGCACTTGAAATCGGAACCATGGTAACAGCAGCCAGAGGTCTTTTAATCATACTGATATTCCCTAAAAGCCCAAAAGGCAGTTCGAGGGCTGTCAATGGCAAACTGTTGACAAAGAGATTCAGTTTCTTTATCACCATATGTTGCTCCGGCATCCTGAGGCCAGTATTCAGGAATAAACACTTTTATCTCTTCAATGAATGGTCCCCTTTTGCCCCTCTGTACGATAGCATGCGATTCTCTAGGCTTCTCGTCAGACTCCTAAAAAAACACCTTGTGATCCATTCCTTATTCTTTTCTTTGTCCTGGATGCAGAGGAATGCCTTGGAAGATGCTGTCATTTACAGCATTTTGACTGATTTGGCTATAACGTCCAGGTCTCTCAGACATTGCCTCAAACACCCTTGCTTTGTGACAAATAGCTCTATGCGCTGCAATAACTGTACAGTCTTGCTTTTGGAGCTCCAAGGACAGCTCAGACAATTCTTGAAGTGCATCGAACATGAGGCCGAAATTTTGGATGAAACTCTAAGAGGACCATCGCATAGCTAGGCCACTGTTGCTCACACAGTAACGCCGTATTTTTTCCATACAGATTCGACAGATCTAAAATTCGACGCCATCTGCTGTCCAAGACCTGGCCAATTCTGCACAATTGAATGTCTAAATCATCAGCACATTTTTAAGCTCCATTCTGTTTTTGTTTGATGTTCTGTACAATGTGTATAGTTTATCCATGAAAATCCTAAAGTGATTTATTTACCCCAATTCTTTCATCGTATCGCCGACTGCGAGCTCCAGTCGATGCAATGAGCAGTGCCACACCATCATATTTGGGAAAAGTAATTTAAGTCTGGATGGCACTCCAGACTTGTGACAGAGTATAACTGATGTGCCATCGCACGAGACCTGTTAAGGTTTTAGACAGAAAATCCTGGGTAAAATTAACACCCTCCAAAGCACGTAACAGTTGATCGACAATTCCTTGGGGACTTTGGTCTTCTAGTTCAAAAAGTTCAACAAAATATTTTTAGGCGACTCCATGTCGGGCAGCTGAAATCTGACTTAAATGATAAAAGCACTCTTTCTGCTTAAGCTAGTTGCTTCATCAAGCATCACACCAATTTAAGGAGTGCAAGCAACAATCTTTTCATATAATTTATTTTAATTTCTTAATTTCAGATTTTTCAGAACCCAGGCTTCCAACCTTTTAGCAAACAGTGCAGCCCAGATGCAACCCCTCCATAACAAGCCAATCTTTTTTGTTTTAAACTCTGCTTTGGTCCATATTGCCCCCATTTTTTGGCTTTCTCCATCTTCGGTGCTTGTTTGCTCACCTCCATGCTTCTTCTTCCCCCGGCCTGCTAGAACTCTCCGCAGTTGTCGACTTGCTCTGTTCATCGCAGGTTGTTTCTTCTTCCTCTGTGTTAACCCTCTGGGGTCTGAGGGGGTTTTGGGGCTCTGGAGAAGTTTTGACATTTGTGCTTTTTCAGTATATTAAAAATATATAGAATAGCTAAAGTCTGATTACACTGTAATCAGCAAAAACTGGGCTACAATAATATGTAAGCAACATGAATGTATGTGTTTGTGTTTTTGAGAAAACAACGATTATGCGTGGTTGGTGAAAAACTAAATTTTTTAAGTCACTGAAATAAGGCCATAAAACACATACAGAACATTTGTGAAATGTGATGGTAAAATGAGTCACAATGAGCTAATTTACAAAAATAATTTTACTTTCATTCTCCATTAAAGGCACAATATGTAAGATTTTTTTATTAAAATATCCAAAAACCACTAGAACAGTGTTATATATGTCAGCATCCTACCTCCTGTAGTTTGTCTCCGTGCCTCTAGAAGTCCCCTGTTTTTTCCTCTGCCTTAGTTCTTCCTCGTGTGGCCTTGTTAGCGTTATCCAAGTCACCTGCGCCTTGTTTTCCCCAGTGTATTTAAGTTGTGTATTTTTCCCTTGGCACACCAGAGACCCGAGTTCAAGCCCGGCTCGTGACAGAAAAACCTTCAAGATGAGTTAGCCATCCGAGAACCAGCTGCTGATCTCGAGTCCCTCATTGTGATGGCTATTTGCCTGAACAATTCGCCTGAACAATTGGCGGCTCGTCGCAAGGCTCTACTTCCCTGGCTGGGGCGGGCTTCTTCTTTGTGGGGAAGAAGGACGGGGGTCTTAGGCCATGTATCGATTACCGGGGCCTCAACAAGATCATGGTTCGGAATCGATACCCCCTTCCCCTCATGGCCATTGCTTTCGAGCTACTACAAGGGGCTTCCATTTTTACTAAATTGGATCTACGCAACGCATACCATCTCGTGCGGATCCAACAGGGGGACGAATGGAAGACGGCCTTCAACACCCCCACAGGCCACTATGACTATCTGGTGATGCCGTTCGGGCTCACCAACGCCCCCGCAGTATTCGAAGCACTGATAAATGACGTTCTCCGGGACATGCTTAATCAATTCGTCTTTGTATATCTTGACGATATCCTCATTTTCTCGGGGTCATTGGAGGAGCATGAGGGGCATGTCAGCAGGGTCCTCCAGAGACTCCTTGACAATCATCTCTATGTGAGTTTCATGTTACCCAGGCTCAGTTTCTCGGGTTCATCATCACTCCTGGCCATGTGGAGATGGACCCTAAGAAGGTTGAAACTGTCCTCAACTGGCCTATTCCCGGCACAGTTAAGGAGGTTCAACGTTTAATCGGCTTCGCAAACTTCTATAGGAGGTTCATTACAAACTTCAGCTCTGTGGTGGCCTCCTTGACTACGCTGACCAAGGGAGGAGGAATCAAGATTCACTGGGGTTCGGAGGCAGCGGGGGCCTTCGAGGAGCTCAAGCACCGCTTCACTTCCGCTCCCATTCTCTCGATCCCCGACCCAGAAAGACCTTTCGTGGTGGAGGTGGACGCCTCGGAGGTGGGCGTAGGGGCCATTCTGTCACAAAGGGGTGAGGATGGAAAATTACACCCTTGCGCCTTTGTCACGTCGCCTGTCGGATGCCGAGCGCAACAACCACGTGGGGGATAGAGAGTTGCTCGCGGTTAAACTCGCCTTGGAGGAGTGGCGACACTGGCTTGAGGGGGGCCAGCAACCTTTACAGGTTCTCGTCCCGGTTCTGGGGGGCCTTCTGCAAGCTGATCGGTGCCACGGCCAGCCTATCGTCTGGGTTCCATCCAGAGTCTAATGGCCAGACAGAACGGATTAATCCGGATCTGGAGACCACTCTGCGGTGTATGGCGGCCAATAACCCCACCTCTTGGGCTACCTACATTATGAGGCTGAATATGCCCACAACTCCCTCCAGTCCTCGGCCACTGGACTATCCCCCTTTGAATGCCAGTTCGGCTTTACCCCCCCATTGTTTCCTGAGGAAGTGTCACAGGTTGGCGTTCCCTCGGCCCGGCGTTTTGTCCAATGCTGTCGGCAGACCTGGAGGAAGGTTAGGCGTGCCCTTCTTCAAACCTCCCAGAGATACCAACGTCACGCTAATCGTCACCGCCGGACGGCCCCTACTTTCCGGGCTGAATAACCCCACCTCTTGGGCTACCTACATCATGTGGGCTGAATATGCCCACAACACCCTCCAGTCCTCGGCCACTGGACTATCCCCCTTTGAATGCCAGTTCGGCTTTACCCCCCCATTGTTTCCTGAGGAAGTGTCACAGGTTGGCGTTCCCTCGGCCCAGCGTTTTGTCCAACGCTGTCGGCAGACCTGGAGGAAGGTTAGGCGTGCCCTTCTTCAAACCTCCCAGAGATACCAACGTCACGCTAATCGCCGCCGCCGGACGGCCCCTAATTTCCGAGCTGGTCAAAGAGTCTGGTTAGCCACCAAGAACCTGCCCCTCATGGTCGAATCAAGGAAACTTTCCCAGAAATACATTGGCCCTTTCCGCATAGCAAGGGAAGTTAACCCTGTTTCCTATTGTTTGTTTCTTCTCCGTTCACTTAGAATTAACCCCACGTTTCATGTCTCATTACTAAAACCTGTCTTGTCTTCTCCTTTTGCCCCCCCACACAGACCCCCTCCACCCCCCAGGATCATCGATGGCCAGCCAGCCTACACAGTCCGCCGGATACTGGACTCCCGGAGGGTCCAGAACTCACTGCAGTATCTGGTGGACTGGGAGGGCTACGGGCCGAAGGAGCGCTCCTGGGTTCCAGCCAAAGACATCCTGGACCCAAGTTTGATCCGGGAGTTTCGCACCCGGAGGCCGGGGTGTTCTGGAAGGAACGTCAGGAGCCGTTCCTAGAGGAGGGGGTCCTGTCAGCATCCTACCTCCTGTAGTTTGGAAGTTAACCCTGTTTCCTATCGTTTGTTTCTTCCCCGTTCACTTAGAATTAACCCCACGTTTCATGTCTCATTACTAAAACCTGTCTTGTCTTCTCCTTTTGCCCCCCCACGCAGACCCCATCCACCTCCCAGGATCATCGATGGCCAGCCAGCCAACACAGTCCGCCGGATACTGGACTCCCGGAGGGTCCAGAACTCACTGCAGTATCTGGTGGACTGGGAGGGCTACGGGCCGAAGGAGCGCTCCTGGGTTCCAGCCAAAGACATCCTGGACCCAAGTTTGATCCGGGAATTTTGCACCCGGAGGCCGGGGTGTTCTGGAAGGAACGTCAGCAGCCATTCCTAGAGGAGGGGGTCCTGTCAGCATCCTACCTTCTGTAGTTTGTCTCCGTGCCTCTAAAGGTCCCCTGTTTTTTCCTCTGCCTTAGTTCTTCCTCGTGTGGCCTTGTTAACGTTATCCAAGTCACCTGCGCCTTGTTTTCCCCAGTGTATTTAAGTTGTGTCTTTTTCCCTTGGTTCCTCACTCGGTCTTTGAGTCTTCGCCCTGTGTCTCCTGCCTGGTCTCGCTAAACCCTCTCTAGCTACCCCAAGTAAGGTTTCCTGAGTTTCTTTCTTTGGTTATAATTGTTCTCTGGTTTTGTTTTCTCCCCTCGTGGAGTTTTGTTTTCTCATGTGGTTTTTCCATTATTTTTGCTGTAGTTAATACCTCAGTCCGAGAAGACCTTTTGTTGTATTTTTCTTGCAAAGACTTTTTTTTTTAAAATAAATCTACATTTCGTGGGATACTGCCTCAAGTGTTTCGTTTGGGTCCAACATTACCACTCCCGTGGATTAGTGGTAGATCTCTCAACTACCACGCCAGAGACCCGAGTTCAAGCCCGGCTCGTGACAGAAAAACCGAGTCAGCTATGGACCCAGAAACACTCACCTCAAAGGACCTGTTGGCAGTGATTGCCCAGCACGAGTCATCTTTCCAGCGCCATGAAGCTGTTCTCAGCCATCAGGAGGAGCTAATGAGCAAACACTCTCAACTCCTGGCCGATGTGATGGGTTCCATCCGCCAGCTCTTTGAACGGCTCCCGGG